GATGCCTCCGGACCGTCGCAGACGGCCCCAAGAGGCGTCCCATACGGCCCAAGAGGGCCCCGAAGCGCCGCTGACTACTCCAAGACGCCCGAGATGGCCTCCAGACGGCCGAAAAGGCAGTGAAGGCGTGCCAAAAGGTCGCCAAGGGGCGTCCGAAGAGGGGCCCAAATTGCCAAAGCCGCCCCATTCTTTTCGGAAAGCGTGCGTTGTTAGTGTAGTCGTCTCGCGGGTTTTCAAAGTTACTCGGGCGGCCGAAGACGCCACGAAGATTGCCCCTGGGCGGCGCAAGAGCTTCCGAGAAGGCCCAACTACGGCCCAAGAAGCCTCCAAGCGGGGTCAAAGCGGGCCCAGAGGGGCCTGGGGCGGCCGAAGACATCTCCAAGACGGCCCGAAGAGGAGGCCTAGACGCGGGACTGGAACTGCTATCTCGGAGCCGGCCTCCAGAGATCTCAGGAGGGTCCGAAGGCCTGCTTGGGTCCCCCCAAGAGGCCGTCAGAGGCTCCCATGAGGACCAAAAACGCAGCCAATATGTCCAGGCGAGGCCTTCCAAGAGACCCCGACCAGCCTTCCAAAGAGGCGTCATGTCGACGACCAAAATTGGGCCCAAAATGCCGCCAGAAACCATCGAGAAGACTCCTCCTCGTTCTTCTCCTCGTCCTCATCCTTACCTCTTCCTCCCCCCCTCCTCGTCCTCTTCCTCCTCCTCCTCCTCCTCTCTTTCCTTCTTCTCGCCGCGATATTCAACATAGAACACCGGTCATGCAGGGTGGGCTTGCGGAGTGAGCGAAGCGATGAAATAATATTTTGTCCGCATAGGCACTACATTCGTCGTATTTGGAATCATTGATTTTGACAACATTTGCTATCGTGAAACCGCCACCGCGCCCCCTGGCCCGTAGAGGCGTGGTTGAAGGCCAAGTGCTGCACGGTAGGGCTTCTGCAATCATTCAGGGGCCCCTCCCCTCTGGATCGCGTCCGGTTTGGTGAATCTCCCCAAGTACCAGGGGTTCCTGGCCAGCCATGACGCCATCCTGGCGCTCTCCAAGGCTGCCTGCGAGGCTCCCAATGCGGCTGCAGAGCGTTTGAAAACGCCGAAGATGGCCCGAAGTCGGCCCCAGAGGGCCTCACTGAAGCCCCAAGAGCGCGTCCAAGAGGTCGCCCAAGAGGGGCCACAGAGGCAACATGCACTGATCTTCATTTATTTGTTTTATTATTATTATTATTATTATTATTACGATTTCTATTCTAAAACAAAAAAACTTCTCTCGTTCTCGCCCCTTAGAACTACCGACGCTCCAAGACGGCTCCAGGGCCGCCAAAGGGCGCCCCAAGACGTCCCGAGAGGCCTCCCAGTGGGCCCCAGGACGGCCCAAGAGGGCATGAAAACGTCCTAAGAGGTGCCCAAGACATGTCAAGGTAGGCTCCAGACAGCCACGCGACACGCCAAAGAGGGGGAACATACACCGAGAAACCGATCCTTCTGCTTGGAGAGGCCCCCAGGAGGCCCCCCGGGGGGCTCGCGAAGCCTCATGTGGACCCCAAGAACCGCCCAAGAGTCTTCAAACAGCCCCCAAGAAGCATCTGAACTGCCTGCAAGAAGCCCCCAAGAGGCCTTCCACGATATTCCAAAGAACATCGAAGATGCCTCTGGCGCCCCCATGGAACAACCGCCACCGAACACGCTGAACTGGCACGGTGGCGGGACTTGCCGGAGGCAGCTGGCTAAATCAGTTGTTGCTCGTTTACCCGCCTTACCATTGAAATCTGCAGGACTTCCCATCCGGCGGGGGCCCAACCAAGGTTTCAAGCCCTTGTAGTTGCCCACTTTCGCTGCATACCTTCTTGCCACTTGCAGGCGGAGCAGGTTCATGAGATACGCGATCGGGTCTTTCAATAGCAAGTGTTTTGTTGCCTGGGTTTCTGCAGGCGTGCCCCTCGAATTCGCCGGCCCAACGGGCCAGGGGCGTGCTAAGATCCCCGGTGACAGGTTAACAATACGTCTAGTTCGCGCGCGCGGGGCAGCCCCCGGGGGTCCCTGGGCGAGAGCTACCCAGGCAAGGTCCTGGCAGACTTCCTGCTGACTCCCGGCAGACTCCTGGCAGACTCCCGGGAAGGTCCTGGCAAGGTAGGTTCAAGGATGCCGGAACTCTTTTTCGGAGCCCCAGAGGGCTCCAAATCGGTCCAAGAGGGCCCTGAAAAACCGAAAGTTCACTACAAGACGCCTAAGATGGCTTCCAGACGGCCGAAGAGGCCGTCAAGACGGGCCAAGAAGCTTCCAAGAGGCGTCCCAAGATGGCCCCAAGAAACAAGAATCGCCCCATTCCCTTGGGAAAACGTATATATTTTAGCGTGATGGCCTATTGCGATTTTACAGCGACCAAGGCGGCCCAAGAGGCCTCCAAGACGGCCCCAAAGGCCCCCGAGAGGCTTCCAAGACGGCTCCAACAGGGGGCCCAGACGGGGGACCCGAACGGATGTTTCGAGTCCTCGGCCCAGGGAGGCCCCTAGGAGGCTCCAAGAGGCCCCATGAGGCCCCCGTGAGGGTCAAAAATACGTCCTAGACGCTCCCGAGAGGCCTCCCAAGAGACCCCAAGAAACTTCCCAAAGAGACGTCTTGTCCACGACCAAGTTTGGTTCGAAAATGCCGCAAGAAACCATCGAGAAGTTTCCTCCTCCTCCTCCTCCTCCTCCTCTTCCTCCTCGCCCTCCTCCCCTTCCTCCTCCTGCTCCTCCTCCTCCTCCTCCTCCTTCACTCCTCCTCCTCCTTGTCCTCCTCCTCCTCCTCCTCCTTCTCCTCCTCCTCCTGCCACTTCTCCTCCTCCTCCTCCTCCTCCTCCACCTCCTCCTCCTCGTCCTCCTCCTCATCCTCATTATCCTTCTCTTGCTCCTCCTCCTCTTCCTCATCGTTCTCGTCGCGAGCACGCCGGCATATAGCACCAGTGATGCAATCTGGGCCGGCGGAGTGAGCGAAGCGATTCAATAATGCTTCTGGCTGGGCGCCCCGAGGGCCACATTGAAGAGCAGAGGCCCCCGCGCACCAACGCGAATGCCTGGCCAGGGCCAAGCTGAGCCAAGGTTTGGCGCATGCGCTCCCCCCCGAGCTTGGCCGGGGCCCCCCACGTGCACCCTCCGAAAGCTCAGCGTGGCCTTGGCCAGGCACGGGGGTGGTGTACAAGTGCCTTCCGTTGGTGCTTGGTGTATCCTGGGGACGGGTCTGGCGGTGCGCTCCCACAGCACCGCTGTTCGGCCGCTGGCGGCCCGCGGGCCAAAATGGCTGCGAACGGGGGCAAGGGGAGGGGATCCCAGCGGTGAGGAGCGTCCAGAGCGGCGAGGACGGCCAACGCGGGCGATGCTGGCGGGGGCCCGAGCGGTGCGAATGGCCAGGATGGTCCAAGATAGCGTTCAGAGCGCTGAGAACGGCCAGCGCGGGCCTAGATGGCGGGGGTCCGAGCGGCGGGAATTGCCAAGATGGCCAAAGATGGCTTGAAGAGGGCCTCCGAGAGCGACTATCGCATGCTGTAGGCTCGCTCTGCGCGTCGAAGGGCCCTACGGAGCATTCTTCTAAGAAAAAGTGTTTGTAGGTCCCTTTGGGGGCCACTTGACAGGGCATGGTGGCGTTTTTGTGTCGTGGCGGCTCCGGTGGGCTGCAGGCGCTGCTGCTGGTCCAGTGACGACGACGGCGACGGCGACGAAACTGACGACGACCCCGGAGGCCGAAATCCATTAGAAGAGGCTTTACAAACCATTGTGTTCTCCGATGTCTTCTGTATGGTGGCTTTTCCGCGTCCAGTGGGCTCTTCAGGCCTGCGGATGGTCGCAACATGGTCCGAAATGGGGCGAACAGGGGCCCTGGGGAGCCCCGAGACGCTCCGAGGAGCTTCCAGATCGCCCCAAGAGTGGCGCAAGAGGCTCCCAAGAGGTTCATTTTCGGGGCCCGAGGGGGGGGGCCTGTCCAACGGCCCCCCCTCGTGCATCTCTGCTCCAGGAGGGTTTGCGAAGTATCACAGGGAGCCCCCAAAACATATGAAGAGCGGCCTCAGAGGGCCCAGGGGGGCCTCGACTGAGGGCGGCAGGCAAGCCATAATCGCTGCGGAGAGGCACGGGGACCTCAGCCGCGAGGAGCGGTGAGAACGGCCAACACGGCCCAAGATGGCGGGCGCGGGGACGGTGGGAGTGGCCAAGATGGCTGAAGATGGCTCTAAGAGGCCCTCCGAGGGCCACCATTGCATACTGTAGGGCCGCTGTGGGCGCCGAAGGCGACCATCGCATACTGGGAGCCCTCGGGTGTTGTTTTTGGAAGCTTTCTGGGATCCACTTCGGACTGCCTGTACTTATCGTCGGGGCCCTGGCAGCGTCCTGGGGCTCTCTGGCAGTCACTTGGGAGGCTGCGAAGCGGCTCCTGGAAGCCCTCGGGAGGGTCCAAACGCTGGAAGCCGTCCGTTTAAATCAAATGATCTCCGCGTGCGCTGGAGGCCCGGGCGGCGACGGCAGCGACGGCGGCAAACAAGAACTCTGCGCTCGTCAGAGGCCCAGGGGGCGGCGGCAGCGTCGGCGGCGGAGAGGGCGGCAGCGGCGACGACGATCTCTTGGAGGTCCGTCAAAGGCTGGAGGAGGCTCGTGAGGCTGTTCTTCGTCTGGAAATCTACGAAGGGCCAATTGCCCTTTGACAGCTTCTGGAGGCCTGAAACGCTGGGCTGTCGGAGGGGGGGGGGGGGGGGGATACGCGCGCGTGAGAATAGGGGTGGCACTTCAGCCCGGAGGCGTCGCGAAGCCCATAAGGTAAGCAGTGGTGACGTTTGTTCGGCCCAGCAGCTCCAAGGTGATACAGGGCAAACATCGGCGGCGGACAAGCTGCGCATCTCACAGCGGGAGCGTCGCAGCGACGATTCGGAACGAATTAGGATATCGTTTGACAAACGCTAATGTGTCATTAACTGCCAATGGCTGCGGCCGGGCGCCGCTGTCGAGAAGCCAAGCTTGTTGCTGGAAGGCCCGGAAGCTTACCCAATGCCCACCGTGTTCCGAATCTTTGTGTACCAGGGCTGCGACGACCCCTTCCTGGCTGAGACTGCCGACATCGTTGACCGAGGCCCGCATCGGGTTCGTTGTCTCGATGGTAAAGACGTTCCCAGAACACTGCAATGAGAAGGAGAGTAACTCGATAGAGTAATCTCCGCTTGGAGCAATGTGGTCATCTGCGGCTGCGTCCACTCCTTCATGCGCCCAGTGCGCGAGGAAGTCCGGCACTGCGTCGGACGCCATGTCTGGTGTGCGGTACTGGAAGCCGAGTCCGTTATTGATGGCGTGGAGTCCGCAGTAGGCTGCGCTCTGTGGCTCAAAGTACGCGGTGTAGCATGGGGGAGGGTCGTATGCGGCTGTCGTGGAGGTGCTCGATGAGGGTGGGCCATGCGGCGCCGGCTGGGTGACCGTGGTCGGCGCGCTCGGAGTCGTTGCCGCGACTTTTGATTCTGCCGTGTCATCGCGGGTCTTCGTGGCCAAGGTGGCGCGTGGCAGCGGGGCTTGTGGGTGTCGGATGCGGGCGTTGCCGTCGACGTCCTGCGGTGGTGCTGGGCCGTTTTCTGCGATGTCGTCGGTCTCGTGGCGGTTGCTTGCATGGGCGCCGACGTCCTCAGGTGGGCCCGGCGGACGAGGAGTCGCCCTTGCGATCGCCAGCGTCATGCAGTAGGGTTCGCGACGCACGTGGTGAGGTTCCTGGAGAGTGGGTGCCTGGACTGCGCGATTTCCGCTGGGCGGTGCCCGCGGCATCGCTCGAACTGGCGTTCGACGTCGTGGGCTGCAAGAGCGCCCCCGACCAGACGACGTTTTCGGTGTACACCCCTGCTCGGACAGTGTCGGACTCGTCGCGGGCGCCGTGCAGCGCCGTCGTCGGGGCCAGGACCTTGATGCAAGATGAGCTTGCCACTCTGATGAATGCCACGCACAGCTGCCCGTGGGAAAACACCGGCGACGGCAAATACAAGCCGACCCGCTTCAGCGTCTGGCCCTGCGCTTTATTAGTGGTCATCCACCAGGCCAACTTCACTGGGAATTGCAAGCGTTGAAGCACGAAGGGCAAGTCGGGGCTGCTGGGGGGAAGTCGCATGCGGGGAATAAAAGCACGGCGGCCGGCATGGGGGCCAGATACCAAGAGCACATCCAGAACACGGTCGTGCATTTCCACCACGATGGCGCGCACCCCATTGACGGGGCCCTCTTCGGCGTTCAGATTCCGCAGGACCATGATCAGGCAGCCTGTAGCGAGGCGCAGGTCGTGCGGGGGCATCCCGTTCGGTTGCAAAGAGTTGAGAAAGTCCGTTGGCCAGAAAGATGTCTCCGCAGGGTCGGATGCGTGGATGCCGTCGACGCTGAAGTAAGTTCGGACTGTGCGCTGGTCGAACTGCTCCAGCAAGGAGTCGTTCAGCTCGTCGGCGGAGGCGTTGGTGGGAGTGAGCGCGGCCCGATCACAGAAGTAGCCCCGCTCGTCGCCGCCTGGCCCCGAGCGCGCGCAGCTGGCACTCCGCGACGCGAGGTCGGGGAAGACCATCTCGCACAGGTCGGCGGGCGGCGTGTCGCTCGGCATCGCTGTGTTGGCGGATAAGCGCAGGGACTGCGGTCCGATGTCTGGGCGCGTGGGCTCTGTCCCGTTACCAACTCGCAGGAGGAATTCTTGCCGCGCCGCGTCCCGTCGGGCACGCATGTTAACCGTCAGGGAGTGGACCTGGACGTAGCCGGACGTCCACAAGGGGTGGTACTGCAGGGAGTGCGATATGATCTCGTCGCGGGATGCTTTGGGCATTACGGGGAGGACCTGCCTGAAGCCCCCGCCCATGAGCAGGATTTTGGCGCCGAAGGAGGCGTCCGAATCCATCAAATCGCGGAGGTGGTCGCCCACGCATTGCAGTGCTTCTCGGGGCGCCATCGGCGCCTCGCCCCACGCGAGCACCGCCGCGCGCCGAAGCACCTCAGCCCGAGAAGAGGTGGCGGCAATGCTGCTCTGCGCGCCCTCAGTCGGCAGGGGCGCGGGCAGACCGAACCGGCTGTGACACGTGCGACCGCCCTCGAGCAACAGCGCAGCGATGCCGCTCCAGGCGCGCGCCAAGGCCACGTCGCCCCTCCCGCGCGCGAGGTCGAGGACCGCCTGATACACGGATGTCTTTCCGGTGCCGCCAGGGCCGTCCAGGAATCCGCTGCCCAGTCCAGTCTGGGGCCTGGGGGGCGCGCGATGCTTATGCAGGCAACTCTGCCGCGGGCCGCACCTGGGGCCGGAAGGGGAAGGGGCGCGCATGGCACGAGCGTTCGCCGCGCGCGCGGGTGAAGGGCGCAGAGGGGGGGGGGGCAAGAGAAGAAGGAGAGGGCCCTCGCTAGACGGCCCGAGCGCGGGCCCCTCTCGCAGGGCTGAAGGGGGCGTCGGCGAGCGGAGCTGCAGAATATGCAGGTGCCGCTGCCTGCGTGGAGCGCCTCTGCGACGGCGTCGAAAACGGCTGCCTGGTCGGGGTTCATGAGGGGCCGTGTCTCGGAGGCCTTCTTGGCGCAGGCAGAGCGGTCGTGCGCCTGCTCTCGGAGGAGGCCCCGCTGGCCTTTCTCAAGGAGAAGGCCTGCGGGAGGGGTGGGCAGGTTGACGTGTTCCAGCGTCTTGCCAGCCTGGGAGAGGAGGGGGGTCTGGGGCGGGCGGAAAGCGCCTCCGCGAGAGCGAGGGGGACGGGTGGACGGGTTTCGCGGCGGGGTCGATTCCGTCAGGCCTACCCGCAGAACTCTTGGATTTGGAAGGGCGGCGAGAGTAGACAGCTTGAGGCCACGTTGGTGGGGGAAGCACTAAAACTGTTCGGGGCAGCGGCCCCAGAGCTAGGAAGGCAGCCCCAAGACGGTTCAGAAGTGTCAGTCGGGGACTGGATCGATCGCCTCGGCGAGCGCGTCTGTGGGCGCGCGGTCCTACTGGCATCGCTAGAATCGTTGTTTGGGCCCCTTGCTCTGGGGGGGGAGGACAGGGGGCGGTTTCGGTTTCCCGAGCCTGCGCCAGGAGGGGCTGCAGGTGCACGAGGGCGTAGTTGGCGGCCGTGGCGGCGTCGTGATTGCGCGTGGTCGTCAGCCAGATCGGTTGCGAATTTCTCGTAGGGAGGTCTCGGGGGGCCCCCACGTTGCAATGGGGGAGGATGACATGACGGCGAAGAGGTTGCGAAGGCCTTGGGCCCCATTGATGCGGGCGGCCTCTTCGAGGGCTGTGGCGTGCTCGTCGTCCGTCTCAGCGAGGCCGCGTGCCTGGCAAGCAGCCCTGAAGTCATGGGCGCGGGCGTCGTCTGGGATGCCCTCGACGCGCGGGGCGAGGTCGTCCCATGATGAAGCTCCGCGGATGCGCAGCAGCAACAGGTACAGGTGCCATCGCTGGCCTTCGGCTGGCGTGGATAAATGTAAGCGACCGAGCACGTCGGCCGACGGTGTCCGTCCGAATCGGCGTTTCCATTTAGTGGAGCGTCGGTCCCACGTGAAGTACCTGGGGACGTCAATGCACAAGAGGTCCTGCGGAGCCGGCTCTTTTCCATCGCGGGGGGCGGCGTTCAGCTCGAACCATGCTGTCAATGTCGCGTGCTTTCCGCCGTCCAGCGCCTGCTTCTCGCAGCCGGTGTGGAAGTGTAACCGATGGAGCCCTGGCAGGTGGACCGCAAGGTGCTGTACAGTGTGGGACTTGCTCTGAAGCGGGAAGTTGAGCAGTCGCCATGTTGACTCAGATGGGCCCACGTACCGGGTGTCGATGTACTTTTGCACCTCGTCCGTCTGCGCGCTGAGAACGGCGCGATCGTGCCCCTTGCGAATATACTTATAAAGGTATTTCACCGACTTCAGAGAAGCGCAGTGCTCGACGTTGAAGTGAGAGCCCAGCTTGCGCGACAGCACGGGGCTGTAGGGGACGATGTCGCGGGCGTCGATCACGTGGCCGTTCCTGATTGCTGTGCCGCTGGAAGCCCGTCGGCGATACATAGGGTAGCCCTGAACATTCACGCACGTCTCCTCCTGAAATTCCCGCGGCTATCGCTTCGTGCAGCGCCCGTCCTCCATGCAGGGGCACTTCGGGTTTCGGGCTCCGCATGGCCCATGGATTTGGCTGGCGAGGTTGAGCTGCAAGAGCTCGGCGTGGGCGGAGTTCTGCGGGCCCGGCAGCTCGGCAACGATGCGTTCGTCCAGCTCGTCCGGCGTGAGAGGTCGGTCCTCCTTGCGCACGATCAGGAGAGCGTGCGCGTGGGGGAGGCCGCGCTTCTGAAATTCGATCACCCACGTATAGGCCTGGACGACGCCCAGAGCGCGACGGTGGAGAAGGAGGTCCAAGAGCACGTCGAGCTTCATTTGAAAACGCGGGCAATGAGGTCTGGGCGGTCACTGGCCGTCTCGCCTGCACGGAGCTCGCGAGTAATCTCTGGCCATGCCGGTATCGCCGTCATCGTGATGAAATAATCTGGCTTCCCATGGTGTTTGACGATTGTCATGGCGTCGAGGTAATGCTGCAGCATGTTGCGCGGGCTGCCAGTGTACGCGGCCGGCAGAATGACGCGGGCTCCAACTTTGGTGGCCCCAGCTTGGTAGGTGTCGTCTGCGAGAGCGTCAACGATGCCTTGGTACGTCTCCGCGCGCAGGTCCGCCTGGTGGTTGCGGATCCACCAAAGTCTCTGGGTTTCGGCCCGACTCCACGCGTCGCAGACCCACATCTGGAACAGCAGGCCAGCGGAATGTGGCAAGCCGACGTTCGTTCTGGGCCAGGGGTCCGGTTGTTCTGCGTCGTCGCCAGCCTCGTCGGCATGCATTAAAGGCAGAGCAAGTCAATTTCCGTGGGGCGTGGCCCGGCGCGGTGTGGAGGCGCAGGTCCGAATGCCACCCAGGGTCGCCGTAGAGGAACAGGAGAGGGCATGCCAGAGGGTCGAGGTGCTCGCATGCGTCGTTGAGTCGGTGCACGTGTTGATCTTCGTCCCGGGGCCACGCGGCAATGTCGCGGTGCCCGATCAAGTTGCCGTCGGTGCCCGCGAACAAGATGGACGACTCGTACGCGCGGGGCTTGTTGTACCTGCGGACGTCGTGATCTCTGTCGCTTTGGATGGCCATGTGTATCTCGGGCCTGCCGTTCGCCTCGAGCACGTCGCGCATGGCGCGGTAGACGGGCGCGTGCGCGTTCACTGCATCCAGCATGTCTTGAAGCTCGCGCATGACTTGTGCGTCGATGCGGTCATGCATGAGGTTCGGCGCGCGGAACTGCAAGGCGTCGGCGCGATCGCACAAGTAGAGCTGAGTGCATTGAGGGTCGGTCGTCGCTTTGGGGAAGAGTGCCCCCGAGAACTGGCACGCGACTCCGCGGCCTCAGGGGGCGGATCTTTCGAGGGATTGCCGCGGGCGGGAGAGGCAGCGATCAGGGGGGACATCGCGCAGGGAGGATAGGATCAGCGATCTCGGGGCCGGGATGGGATCGGTCGGTCCAGAAGCTCACGACGGTAGCTGCATTAAACCACGGCAGGAGCTGGGGGACATCGCGCAGTGAGGATAGGATCGGCGATCTCGGGGCCGGGATGGGATCGGTCGGTCCACAAGCTCACTACGGTAGCTGCATTTAACCACGGGAGGACCCCCGCCTCCTCGAACCTCGTGGAAGC